GTGCAATTTGTCTATTCCACAAAAGTAAGAACCATAGGTAAACATTGTGTGCATGCTAGGAGCATGGGACAAGTGTAATAATTCAAGTAAGAAGTTGATTACCCGAAACGACAAATAATGAGTAATCGATATGGTGATAAATAAAAGGTGTTTTATTTATGCTCAAGGGGTTGAGGCCATATGGGATTAGTATTATTCTTGTGTTTCACTTTGCATGTTTTGACTTCCAGAATAATTGAGTTTATTAAGAATAATCGAATTATTCGAACGGGCCACAGTCGTTCATATGTTGGAAGTAGGTATGAATGAAGACTGTCGTGAATTGGTGTGTGGATTGTCTAAAAGGCATTAGACATAAGCAAATGTTTGCTGCAACGTTCATGAGTGCTTACGAATATGATTTGAGCATTGGATTAAACCCACGCTCACTTGGATCACTCCATGAATTGTATCACGAGTGATTAGTGAGACGATAACATCTTATATTCTTGAAACCGAGATGTGTGAGTTGTATCTTGCTAATCGGTTACACATTGATAATATGTAAACGCACTAGTAACTTGGTGTTATAAAACATATTGTTGTGTGTGATTTGGTTAGTAAGTGCAAGCAAGCATTGTATCAAAGTTTATCCGTTCCTTTTATTCAAAGAAGGATAAAAGCGATATCTTTTGGGCCCCTCGATGGTTTAGTGATGACAAATGTAAATGCTCGGCCGGGCTAGGGCTAATTTGATTTGTTCAATTAGTCAGTCGTCATAAATCGGAAATCGAGATATAGTACAAAGAGAATGATTAGAAATCATATCTCATATGATATCTAGAATGGAGGAATATATGATCCCTTATCTAAGGACACGCGTATCTGATAGGATCAGAGTTAACAACGGCTTTGGAAAGCTACGATTGCAGATCAGGATCTGAAGTCATACGCATAATAGTTATTAGACTTATCCAAGTGGGAGACTGTTGGATTAGTGTCTAAGTCCATAACTATTTTGGTATGTACTTGACCCGATGGTGCATGGTCCTTTTGGGTTGCCTTCACCAAAGCAACTTGATAGGATGAATTATGGAGAGAAAGGATTAAATATGATTTATTAATATATTATGGGAATAATATATGAAAGGAGAAATAATATTGTTTAATTAATATTAGTCAATAATTAATTGGTAATTAGTTTTGTGACTAAAAGAGATTAATTAAACTTAAGTGACTGGAATTGTAATTATAAGATAATTGCAATTTGGGCCATGGATTGCCTTATATTAAGGGATGGACGAATTCTAATGGAAAACCCATAAGGAAATCGTCCATGGACTTAATTAAAGGAGTCTATGGGTTGCTTAGGGCTTAAGCATCCAAATTAGGGTTTCCTTGTTAAATAACCCTAATAGCCCAACTATATAAAGACCCCTTAAGGCTCAAAAATGTGGCTAAGCTTCTTGTTAGGTTTTCTACACGTTTTTGATAGCCTCCATCCTCTCTCCTCTTCATCCTATTGCTTATGGTGTTTGTGAACCATTAGAGGAGTGACACTTGTGACTCTAAGCATTCCAAAGTCAATTCAAGGAGGAATTGGGATTGTTATTGCTACATAACAATCAAGGTAACATTATAAACTCATTTTTATGTTAATATGATTACTTGCATGCTAGAATTAGGGTTTATAGTCTTGGATTCAAAGCATGTACAATAGAGAAACCTAGATCCAAGCTTTAGGGTTTGTATGAGCACATAGGATGTTCTTAGGACCAAAACCCATCAGCTGGATTTTTTAACTTTTGAGCTTTGAACAATTTAGCTATGCATCAAATACAAAAGAAAAACAACCTAGACTCTGATACCACTGTTAGGTTATGAGCAAAACATCAATCCTATAGTGCACATGCAAACCCTAAAGCTTTGGATCTAGGTTTTTTTTAATTGTACATGTAATAATAATCCAAAGCTTACAAGCCCTAGATCTAGCATATCAAAATCGATATCAACATAAATAAACTAGTAAGAATGTTACCTTTGATTATAGCTTGAAGATCTTGAGCTTTTGAGAACCTAGCACCTCAAATGTGATGCCTCTAATGGATCACAAACACTAAAGCAAGTTGGAGAATCTTGGAGAGAGAGGGGAGAGGTAATTTTTGGCTCAATGAATCCTTCTAGAGTTGTTGTAGCCGAAAATTGAATGCCCAAGGGTTCTATATATAGATGAGCAATTAGGGTTTCAGTCAAAACCCTAATCCAGTTGCTTAGTCCTTAAGCCGCCCAAAGGATCCTTCCAGAAGGCCCCTTGGATCATTTCTATGTGGGCTCCCATCTAGAATTCGTCCATTGCTTCCTAATGAATCCTAAGCCCAACCTTGTAACTATCTTATAATTACAATGTTAGTCTCCCTGATTAATTAATCTTTTTTGAACAAAAATTAATTCTAAATTAATTCTTCACCAATATTAATTAAATAATATGATTTCTCCTTTAATATATAGTCCATATAATATATTAATAAACCATAATAACCTCTTTCTCCATTATTCATCTCGTTAAGTTGCTCTGATGAAGGCAACCCAAAAGGACCATGCTATAACCGGGTCAAGTACATACCAAATATAGTTATGGGCTTAGACACCTAATCCAACATTTGTGACACTTACTGATATGCTTGTATATGCTTGCTGTCTTCGTGACTATTGCTAGCATGACTGTATGTTTAGTTTTAGGGGGTGAGATAGACCCATACCGATTGAAAGATACCGAAGAAGTTAAAAAGGACTCGACGAGTCGGAAGGAACTCAGAGAGTTGGAAGGGACTCAGGGGTGAAATAGACCCATATATGTTTTAGTATGATATGTATGTATGACGTATGATGTGTGATATTTAGGTAACTCACTAAGTTTTGTGTTTACGGTTTAAGTTTATATTTCAGGTACTTCCGGTTCGAAAGGGAAGGTCCGGCCTGATCATAGCGCATCCAATCGTGTTTAGCATTTTTATGATTTTGAGATTGTATTCTGATAACTATTTTCACATTGACATACTTTTGATAGGTTGATATAAATATTTGATGGATTTTTGGTTAACTTTTACTTATGATTTTTAGAATGTTAGATACATATAGTACACACTTGCATAAAGGTCTAGTGTCTAATCCATCAATTATGCATAGTTCTAAAATATTATTTTTATTTTATTATTATCTTTTAAGGCTATGAGGAATGATAACATGTACTAAGCATTATCATGTCATATTTTTACCTCTTGCCTAAACTTTTGTCATAAAATATATACACCTTGGAATTTGGAATAAAAATAAAAAAGAAACAATAAAAAATAAAAAAGAAACATAAAATATATACACCGGTTTTAACCGAAACCAATAATAAAAACTCGGGTTTTCAAAAAACGGAAGCCGATTAAAACCGGCTATTATACACCTCTAGTTTGGATGCACCATAAGGCTGGAGAGAGTGGTGCCAAGTTTGTCATGATCCACGTAGGCGTCACTTAAGATTTGCCACACTGCTTCAAAATTTTGTTGTTGGACGTGAGTTTTCACTTTTGCCATATTAAAAAAATTGAAAAATAAATAAAAATAAAAAGAATAAAAGGCATTGTGATTGGTAGGTCAAAAGTCAAATGAAAGAAACGAGGAAGAAGCCGAAAGAGTTGTCACTTTTGCCATGTTGAGGGGGCATGAGGAAGAAACCGAAAGAGTTGTCACTTTTACCATGTTGAGGGGGCACGACGCTGTTTATTGAGTTTGCCGAGTTGGTTGCCAAGGTATCCGAACTCAACATAGTCCAGCCTAAGAATCGAAACTAGACCAATGATCTCTAGTCTCCAGTTTTTATTTGGCCATTTGGTTATATATTATTTACTTTTTTAAATATGTGATATAATATATCCATTTTTAATTGAATTTACCGTAAATTAATTATACTTTAGTAATTTAGTATATTTTATCAAGGGAAATTAAGGAATCTAACTTATATAAATAAGTTTTTTTTTTTTTTTTTTTTTTTTTTTTTTTTTTTTTTTTTAAGAAAATAACAATTTTTTCATTTCTTGAAAAGTAACAATTTTTCCCCTAATGCTTCATTCCGGACTACTATTGACATTATTGACTACTTTTTAATTTATTTTTCAATGAAGACTCCATTTCGAGTTTGATCTTCAATTTCAGAATTATTTTTTGGGGTTTTCCCATTTTTTTTAAAAAATATTCTTATTTATGTCCGAAATACCAATTTCTAAGTGTTTAATACCGTTTTCATATAATGTTTGATTTTATGCAATATATCGTATGTAGTTTATATTTACTATGTTTGTTTAACCTTTTGTTAAATTTAGGCAAAAAAACAAATTTTTTCTCAAAAATATGGAATTATTCTTCGGATTTCGGACTTTTTGTTGAAATTCTGGAGTTTCTTTTTTCTTCCGAAATCCGAAATTTTAGTCCAGTATCCGGAATGTTGGTTTGGAATCCGAAATGCCGTTCGAGAGTAAAAAAATAGTGTTTTTTCTTAATATGGATGTCCATCCCGGACCAAATGTTTTTTTTTTTTTTTTTTTTTAATCTATTTATTTATTTGTTAAAAAAAAACATTAAAAAGGTGGTTAGATTACTTAATTTCCCTTGAATCAATTTTTAATAATCATCAATTCCTACAAAAATTACTTAAGCTAACAATTCACATGGAGTATATGATTCTGGTTATTCAATATCTTATAAGCATTCATGCAAAAGTCTGATCAATAAAAAAAACTATCTTTAGATTTCGAAAACTTTTAATATAGTTGCATATATATCTACAAAATATATCAAACTTATAATACTTTATTCCCATAACCAACTACCTTAAATAACTCACCTATTAACGCCATAAGTCAAACCAGTCTGACCACATAAAAGCACGTCCATTTTTACGAAAAAAAACCCTTGGGATTTTTCACAAATGCTCGATAAGATCACTTCCAAATCCCTTTAGAACACGAGATCCCTCACTTCAAAATCTCACCATTTTCTGAAAGCTCAAACAAGAACCTCGGAAGCGACGTGATCCTGGGAAGCTGTTGCACCAATTCAGAAAACGAGTCCGTTCTTGATATACCCAATTCTTCATTAGATCCAGAATTGTTCTCAGGGGTAGAACCGTCATTTCCATCTTGCTGAGCATTTGGATACTCCTGAGGAAGCTTTGCATTCATGCTACTACTACCATCTTCTCGAGTCATAGTCTCAGGGATCCAGTTGGCACCAAGGGTAGAACCGTCATATTGGCCTTGCATGGGGATCAGATTGGGATCAAAGGTAGAACCATCATTCATATCCTTCTGCAGGATTAGATCAGGATCAAGGACAGAACCGTCATTTATGTATTGTTGCATGATCAGATTAGGATCAAGGGTAGACTCGTCATTTTCGAATTGTTGCATGAACATATTAGGATCAAAGGTAGAATAGTCATTTCCGTATTGTTGCGGGATTAGATTTGGATCAAAGGTGGAAAAGTCATTTAGGTCTTGCTGTGGGATTAGATTAGGATCAGGGGCAAAAAAGACATTTCCATCTTGTTGACCACCTTGATAATCTTGAAGAAAGCCACATAGGGAATTGATTCTTGATGTGAGAGTCTCTTCATCTGAATCTCCTGCTACATTGTTGTCGCTGAGTAGCATCTGTGAAATGTTCTCAAACATATCATTTGGATTTTGCCCATCAATATCCATAGACATACCTAAAAAAACACCACAAACAACAATTGTTACTTTCTATAATTCTATTACATCATGTATTTGGATGATGATGCTATAATTGGGTAAATTTTTCTATGTATAATGTTGTAATATGAAGAAATGAAGAAATAAAGAAATAGTACCTGAACTGGAAGAGTAAACTTCTCTAGACATTTCTTGATGAATCAAACCTAAAGAACTCGATCCCACATTTGTAGATGAAGCCATATGTGGAATAGTATCGATTTCTGGGAAGTTAAAGATGTTAGTGGCTGGTATATCTTGATAATTAATGGAAGGTCTTGGAGGGAAATATGGGAAGTCTAAAACTATGCCTGGTTGTTGACTCAGAATGTTGAGTCGTGCATCACACTGAATCAACTTTTCAAAATGCTTGTCAAGTACGCCTTGTGCACATTGTAGAAAATGTTGCCTACACAAAGAAAGGAAAGTAGAGAGATATATTTTTACCAATAGTTTCATTATCGATGTGGGTAATGTGCTTTATTTTCAAAATCGTTATGGTAAAACAAATGTAAGCATGTTGCTATTATGGATAATAAACTATAAGTATGTTGCTATATATGTAAACAATGTAAACGTGTTGCTATTATCATTAAGAAGATGTAAACATGTTGCTAGTATGTAGAGAAATGTAAGTACAATAAAAGGTAAAAAATGAAGTACATTGCCTATATTGATAAAACGAGTAAAGTACGTTGTGATTTTCATCAACTTTTTTTTTTTTTTTTTTTTTTTTAATCAATGGCACTTTCTTTAAATCAAGGTTGTTAAAAGAGTAATATAATATACCTATTTATGTTCGCTTCACCATTCGTAAAATCTGAAGTTGCCCTCCATTGTGTGTGTTTTCTAGGCTGCGGGTTGATTTCTTTGAAGAAAAGTGGTGGTTTATTAAGCTGACAATTAAAAAAAAAAAAATACAAAGTGAGCACAAATTAACAACGCTAGTAAATTTTAAAGGGTAAAATAGTTATAAGAAAGAAAAAGAAAATATTACCACAATAGTCAAAGTTCCAAGCCCACCGGCTTCATAGTTTGCGTTGATAGCGAAGATATCCGCCCAACTAATTTCAAGTTTTTTCTTTAATCCATTATCAAGAACTTCCCACACAAGCTTATGCTTTGAAAAGTAACACTTGGCCACTAGATCACCTTCATGTTTTGACACATACTGGCAAAAAAAAAAAATTGACAAGAAAATTGATTATCATACCGAGTATTGATGAAAAAGACATAAATACTCTCCTGATCATCAAATACAAAATACCTCCCAATGCCCGATCCTTAAAAGTAATGCTGGAAAATGAGAAGCCTTCAACTTATCAGGGGAACTTGAGGCCTGGGCTTTTGACCTATCCCTTGAATCTCTTCTGGTTCTTGCTTCAAGATCTTCCATGGACGAATTGCCCTTCTCAATATTGACTTGGTTGAGCCTCTTTTGAGCTAGCTCCAACAATGATGGACTCTTCCTTAACCGCAAGCCCAATGGGCTTGGTTCATCAAGTGTGTTGTACTGATATTGTGGTATTGGAAGTTCATTGCTATTAAACCTCAACTGCTAATCAAGGCATTCGCACAAATGGTCAAAAGACACAATATAATTAGTCAAAATGGGAGAAAAGGTGTCTTTTTGAAAGTATAATGTCTTATTGCATGTTTGAAAATACAAGGTATAAAGCGAAAATATTAGGAAGCGTGTTGTATTTCTAGCAATAGATTCTAAAAGATAAGAAAAATCTTT